AACTCCCCTGCTAATGATAGTAGGCTCAACAAGACAGTGTGGTTATCATCTTGTGTATCGGACTGTGTTTGTGGGAAGGTAGAGGTTGCATACAGTACCGGCCCGCTCACAAGAAACCAGAAATCGGGCCCAGCCTGACTTTCTTTATGTTGGGTTGAGGTCGAGGATAACACTTTCTTATGTAATGTAAAGGATTTAGTGTGGCACTCGCCGCCCAGCTTGGGCACTTTCTTAATTTTTGGAAAATCTCAGCCTCACTCTCTTGTAGGCAGCTTTCTTATGAGCGGGCCGGTACTGTATGTGTGTGGCAAACGGGATCGTGACATTTATGCAATTTTTCTGTTCTCTTCATGGATCAAGTCCCGGCTTATTCGCCCATTTTGTGCTTACCTCGGCGCCCTCATGTACGATTCACGCCCGACAGTAAAGCAAAACAAGAGCACGTGCTCCTAGGCATCAAGTGGAAACCGCGTTGGCTGCAATAAGTATTCATCAACTCAGTTCACATGTACATTTGCAAAGAAAATACAACGGTCACGGTCTTCCCCGGCGGGCTGGTGTGTGTCTGCTCGAAGACAAAGTCCCAATCACGTCGGACACCGCCTCTTGGTATCATGGCTGTGGTCGCAGCGTACCATTCGGTATCGCCCATGCCCAGACATTACCACCGTTGGTTCCGCATTCAGGCATATGATGTTGTGGTGGGCAGCAAGTCAGGAGCATTTGACTGGCTTGACTCTTGGGACACTGATCGCGGCGAAAGACTTATTTGTAACTACGGCAGTTCCTATCCAACAAATCAATAAAGCGACTGACTGGCAATCAATGTAACCCGCGCGCCGGCCCTCCGTGATGGCCACGGGCCAACCGTAGGTATCATTGCAAAACGAACAAGACAGTCATGAGAGGAACAAGCTGTCTGTGTCTGTGCGACCAGCAGTCAAACAAGTCAGTCAAACAAGTTAATTATTTGTGCTGAATTGCGCGACCTTTTTCATTTGAGAACCTGAGCAACACGGCTGTTAGACGTGAGCTAACGCTGTGCATCAGACCGTCGTGCATAAGCACCTCCTACTCCTAGTGCCCCAATTTCCGGTCCAGCCTCAAATTCTTGTTGTGGGCTGAACACTCAGGGGTGCGTTGTCCAGTTTCTTGTGCCCTTGCCAACTGTCTTATTGTTTCGTGCTACTACGTATTAATACCTTTGTTTTGTTCTTAGTCGAGTGTCTCCTCAGCAAGCACCTACTATACATATATATATATATATTATGTTAGAGTGCATGCCAATGAGTCGCGAATGAGTGTGAAACATTTCGGTTACGATGGCCAAAAGAAAAGAGTGTATTGCAAATGATTCCCTGCAGGGGATTACCTCCGTCGGTCTCCAGATGTATGTAGAGTGCTTTACTATCAGCTCCTCCTGACGTCGGCACTCGTCCACATCAAGATTCGCCATCCATGTACGAATGATCAAAGGGGGTGTTGTGCTGCAGACACGAAAATATCCAACATCTCTTGTCTCCCATTTCTTCCCCATCAAGGTGAGCCTCTAGTGAGGATGACACCGGTTCGGTTCTCTCTTCCTGCTGAACTCTCCATTGCGTTGCACCCTACCCCCCGGCGGTCGCATCTACCTCACGGATGACACCTACACATTACCGCGAGAAGAGACGTTCAAGCGTAGAGGTCGGTCGTCGAAATAGAGCTGCAAGCAAACAAATGTTCGGGGACTGATTGATTCGTGTTTTCCACGAGATGTCGACTCACAACGGGATCAGGTTCCCTCGGCGGAGCGAACCACTATTATTCTCACACCGTCCGGGGTCATAATACAAGACCCACATCTATTCAATTGTCTACACGACGCTGCTACCGCAGGCAGGGCAGCTGATCGGAGACATTGCGAAATCTGTGGCGATGTCACACCTGACAAGTTGAGCAACAATTAGAAACAGGCTGACTGAAACAAGCAGGGAAACACGGATAGACTTGTCTCGACCAGGACAGACTCGAACAAGCGTCCCGGCGTTGAAAAGCCTAGAACAGCCAGCCACGCACACCACCTCAGATCATAGTACTAGTTTGGCAGGCGATGGTCTACGGCTCTATTTGTCCCTACGGGAACACCTCCGGCATCAGCACAAAATGGTTGAGGTATACTTCAGGCCTAGATTTCATGCTTTCATGGCAAAGAAGCAGAGGTAGAAGAGCGTGCGGCCTAAACTCATTCGTGGTCATGGGGGTTGTACGCAGGCTAGAAAGTCGCACGTAAACGTACATACGCATGATACCCCTACGAGCGGACATACATAGACTGCTGACGGTCAGTAGCGTAGACTCACCTGTGATGAACCGAACATTGATGGGAAATTCAAGTGTGCGTTGGATACTCTCAGCCTCAGCTGTTAGTCTAGCTTCAATCTCGAGCCATGTCTTGTCTTCCGCCTGCGAAGCGGGACGGGTAGGATGGTTTCAACTGTCAAGAAAACGACCACGCTTGCCCGTGATTGTAACCGGACAAGGGGGGGCATCAGAGATTTAGTAAGGGGGCACCTGGGCAGTATGTTCTGGGGGATTGAAAGCGAGGGCCAACGAGGGACTGCGAAGTAGTGCGAAGAAAAATCTGCGTGCGAGTGAAAACCCCCGGTACGTCTAGTAGCCCTCTCACTCTGCGCCTGTTTCGATACTCTTTCTGGCTGGATTGTCGCGGACACTTTGAAGAATGTTGAGGTTTCCGAGGTGCACTTTACTTGGAAAGTACTCACCACCTCAATTTCGTTTTGCTGCCAAAATTCGTTTTGAAGCTCCCACGCCACGCGCATCGGGAAGCTGTCCCCGTCCGCCGCCATTTCGAACGCCTCCAGGAAGCTTTTTGCCTCGTCGACCTCTAACGCCCCACCCTCGTCTTGCCTTTCCCGCCCCACTCTTGAGACGGACGGACCTCTCCCCGCCTTTTGTACTGTAGGGGGTGTCGGCAATGGTTGCCGAGTGACCGATATGTCCTGAATACTGTACAGCCGCCGAAGCAAAGCTCTAGGCACCTCGAGCACCTCCCTGTTTGATCGGTAACGTTCAAGGAAGAGCGGACAAGAGTAGTTGGCTGAAAGGAGCGCGGGGGTGGGTTGATGTTAGCGCCATGTGGCCAACCACGGCGGCCGTGAAATCGGATCGGGCGTTCCAATGGAGAACATCAAGGGTGTTCACGGAGCGGTTCTTTCGACGCAAAAAAGTGGTTTCAACCGCTTCGCTCCATGGCATGAACGAACGGCGCGCTCTGCTCCGCTCCGTGCGGTTTTCACAAGCAACCGAACATGTCACTGTTTCGGAGCGGCGTTGAGCTACTCTGTAACGAAATCCGAGGACAAATCCGAACCTACAAACGAACGTAGCACAGTCAGCCACGGTTTTCCCGCCGAGTCACGGTTCGCGTGCGTGCTAGGGGTTGTGTACGACCATCTTTCGTCAGAAAATGAAGCCCGACGATGTCGAGTTGGATATGTTCCTAAGGCCGAACTCCGAGTTTTTCTCCGGAGATGACACAGTTGGACCGTGAATTGGGAAA